TTTTGGAAAACGAATGCATGGTTCGTCAACCGACTCCACTGGGCAAGAACGAACGAGGCACAGGGTAAGGTCCATGCCTATAAAGTCATGGAAGTAATGGAGAATGACAATCGCAAGAGCAGTCGACATAGTGTAACCGTTATGAATCGGGCAAATGGCGAGTATAGCGTGACGACCGGGCATCGGGAGGACGGTAGACGGGGGGGCCACCGCCATGAAGTTGTGGTCAATTTCAGGACAAAAGTTGGTGAGTGCTCCTGCCAGAAGTATCAAGGGAGAGGGTGGCCTTGTTCTCATGCAATGGCCGTAATAAAAAACAGGAGCAAAGACCCACGTCACTTCGTTAGTCCGTTCTACAATATCGACTCACTCAAAAACACATATGGACGGAGTTTCCGTGCATTGCCTGATGAAGTTTATTGGCCGATGTACGAAGGAAAATTGATCATCCCGCCGTTCGGACAGAGGCGTGAGCCGGGACGCCCGAGGAAAAAGAGAATTCAGAACGAAATGGATCAAAGTGGAAGACCACCACGAGGCCCAAGACGATGTTCAATATGCAAAGTTCCAGGACATGATAAACGAAGATGTCCAGGCCCGATTGGTCCGGAAAATGCGGGTCCTGATGTGCCAGACTCAGCTAATGCGACATAGTTTGCTTTGTTAATTTTTTTTCATTCCATTCCCAACTCCGAGCTCCAGCTGGTCATGCCACAAACTCCTTGAATTCGAGCTCAAAGTTTGTACCTCAAACTGTTTTCCTGCCTTAGACAAAAAACAAGCAGATTCCATAGTACATGAGTAGGGTTTTGATGGCGTTGGAAAACAATCCTCCTAACCTTATTAATAACAAACCAAATGCATAAAACTATAAACGCCCATCCAAGGTTCAAAATGCGACCCTAACCTTGCATTTCCAGTGAAGGGTTTTGAGAGATACGGCCTTCCAAAGTACCCTTCCCAAAACTGTCTCAACACTTAGGAAAAAATGCAGCCTTGTTCGTATTAACTTGAAGTTGGGTTAGAAGCCATAATTTTAAATCAAATTACTTATCTCCACTGTATTGTTGATTGAACTAATTGGGATTACATAAAGATAAAAGGCATAGTTCTAATGGGATAAAATAAGACCAAATTGAAACAACAATCAATTCGAATAAACTAAGATAATAGGAATAGTTCAAATTACATATAAATTAAATTCAACTCTCATCAATCCGCTCAAGGAAGTCCACGAGCTTCGGTCGATCCCACGGTCTTCTTGCTCCTTGTACGACGACCGACGGGAGTAACAATCGGTGGAGGCGGTGGCAAGTTTCGAACTTGGGCGGAGGTAGTTTGGCGGTCGTCGGTGCTATGTCGGCGGGGAATCGGCAATTCCGGGGTTGAGCGGGGGACATCCACGGAAGCTCGGTGGGTAGTCGGAGGGCGACCCCATGGCGTAAAATCGTGGTGTGCCGTCGCGGAGGAACCATCATGCCAAGTACCGGATGATGTATGGCGGGGAGATGGTGGGTAGACCGGGCGGTAGTCGTAGTAACCTCCTTGGCGGGGAGATGGTGGGTAGACCGGGCGGTAATCGTGGTAACCTCCATGGCGGGGAGATGGGGGGTAGATCGGGCGATACTCGTAGTACGATCCTTGACGGGGATCGTTGTATGAGATCGGGGTGGGACTCGGAGCACCTTGATGGTATGTCGCCCGAGGATCGTAGTACGAGCCTTGGTGGCCAGTTTGGCTGGAACTCTGGCCGGCGCCTTGGGGTGAACTCGGGCCGCCAACTTGGGGAGAACTCGGGCCGCCGACTTGGGGGGATCTCGGGCCGACACCTTGGGGCACAACCAATGGAGGCGGTACTTTCCACCCGGGATATGGCGTGACTTCGGGCTCGATGGGCCTTTCCCGAACCCTCTTGCTTGGCTTCCTCTCGTATGGTGGTGGGGGATCGGGGACATCCACTTGTACCGGAGGTGGCGGGGGTGCGGGCATGGGCGGATATCTACGATGATCCCTCCCTTGAGCTCTGATACATCCGAGAAGACTGTTTGCCATCTTCCTGATGAAGCTCACATCTTCATTTCCCAGCTGCGACCTCCCGGTGGTAATGTCTTTAATCCGCTCAATCCCGTCAGTCTAAATCACAAAACAATAAGTTATGAAACAATTTAGGAACAAAAACAATACATTTAATTATGTAGAGTCGAATATACTTACTAATGCACCATCGGCAGCACCCTCCGGAGTCATGTAACGGACCGATGTTTGCCGATAGCGATCCAAGTACGGGTCATGATACCCCATTCGACCCACTGCTGATGGAGTGACAATATCTTGCGATTGTCGTTCCACCCACATGGCGATGTATTCCCTATGCTTAAAGGGCCAATCTCGAGTACCTTGCCGCCCATCTCGACCATGGAAGGCCTTTTGACTTTCGGGGACGGCCAATGGAATGCACTGCTCCCGACCAAACTGACGGAGTCATCGATCCGGCAAGTGCCACTCCACAATCCCAAAACAAATGAGTGGGACCCTCGTGCACCATTGGCCGATATGCTCGGGGAATTGCTGGAGATGCCATTGCACGATGTTCTCCGGGTATGGATCGAAGATGATCTACACGCGCAAAATGAGTAAATTAAGATAGTTAGAATTGGAAAAATACATGTCTCAATGGCAAAAAGGTATAAATAGATCGGAGTATAGAAGTTACCTCTCCTTCCCAAAGTCGCTCAAACCTCCGCCGATACTCATCCAACTTGTGTTGGGCAAGGTTGTCACAAGTGGAGTGTCCGATCCACCTTATTAATCAAACAATAATCGAAATTACAATAAGATAAAAGACAAGGGAAAATCAACCAAGAAAAAACATGATGGGTATGAGAAGTTTACCTTGTTCCATAAGCTTCCCCTCTTAGGGGATGATCGATTGGCCAATCCCGATCGGGACGTTCTACCGGTGCAAGCCATGGCATATGCTCCCAAGCCCAAAATTGGACGATGAACATTGCGCCGCCGACCTCCCTCACAGCTTTTAGAGAGGCATTGCACAAGTTGTTGTAGATATGCGCTAGGCAAGCGGATGCCCAACTATACTCCCCCATCTCCTCCCAACTACCGAGGATGATCCTAAGCCATCCACAACTAAGGAGATTGCTTGCTTTTTTGGAGAAGAACACTCCTCCGATCATGCCAATGAGATAGACCCGAGCATATCTCTCGATCTCATCCTCCGGACTTTCCTCGGTTAGGGGATGACTCTCGTAATGCTCTCTAAAGTACCTCGTCAACCAAGTAATTGACACTTGGTGTTTCCTCATTGGTGGCAAGCGATCGGTCGCATCAACATGCCCCTTCACCGGTACTTTTACTCCCAAAACACTATAGATGAAATGAACCCAACCGGGCATACCGTCGACATCGTCGGGGGCATGATCACTAACGCACACGGGTTTGCCGTCGATGGGGAGATGGGTTAGGATGGCGACATCCTTTAGTGTGATGGTGGCCTCTCCTTCTCTCAAGTTGAAGCAATGGGTCTCCTTTCTCCATCTCTCAACTAGGGCGGTGATGAGTTGGCGATCAACTTTGATGCCGTTAAAATGCCTAATCGAGTCCAATCGTGCCCTTTTGAGAAAGGGCAAGATGGCTGGGTGGAATGGGAGCACATTGGTCGTACCCCTGTAGCGGATTATTGTTTGTGCCTCCTAGAGAAAATTTACACGTTAATTATTATATATTAGTAAGGGTTTAATCCTTATAACTAAATTACTTAAATTAAATTATTTAACTTCAAGCAGAATTTTATTATCATACTTTAGACATTTCATATAATTAACATAATAGCATTATAAATGAATAATAATTTAAAGAGATACGATACATACATATTAAATTATCGTAAAGAGATACATACTAATTATCGTAAAATAAACATACTAAATTAACTAAATTAAATGACATTGTTAATGAATCAATATTTTAAAGAGAAACATACATATTCAATTGTTTGAAATTAATAAAATTCCATTTGTACACATAAATTTTAAATCGTAAGGACTGTTTGGTAAATTATTTAATCGTTTTGGTTGTTTTAAATAATTTAATCGAATACAAAGCAACACTCGTTAGACTCTTAGAAGAGGTATACATCTTCTTAGAAACGCAGTCTTGTTGACAGAAAAAGGGGGGATCCGAGGATCTCTTAATACCCGATTTTCCCAGGAAATGGGAGGATATGATAATCGCTTAAAACCCCATTTCCTTAGACGTGCATCTCTTTATAAAGAGTCGAAGTAAGTGGCGCAATGTATCAGATTAAATTATTGAAAACAACCAACACGATTAAAAATTCAACATAAATTTATTTTATATTTCACTAAATACATAAACAAAATAAAAGAAGGACAAATGGTAAAGAATTGTATGTACCGGATGAGCGTTCCAAACATCCCTTGACCGATGGTTGGGTTGGTCGTACAAGTCAATTGGATCCAACGGTCCTTGCTCGAGATAATACCGTTGGTTGTAAATATCGACGTCCTCCGCAGCCTACGAGAAAATAACAACGAGGTTAGTAAATAGATTAATTAAAAAGCAAGACAAAAATTAAACCCGAATAATGAGTACGTACCGCTTGAAATTCATCAACAAAAACTCCTTCTCCTTGCCACCAATCGGCCATTTTTTCGGCGCAATTCGGACAGAGCTTCGGCTCGGCTCGGCGGGTTTTGAGGAAAAAACCTAAGAAATGTTTTCTAATGGCAGATCGGACTTTGCCGCAACCAATAGACCACTATTTCCTAGGCTTTTGGGAGGGGGAGGGTTTAGAGAGATAAAACTTAGAGAGAGAAGGAAGAATGGGTTGAAGGTGTGAAGAAAAATGAGAGGGGGAGGGGGGCTATATATAGTTTTCAGATCGCAAGCTCCAGGGGCGATTTAGGAATTTTGCCCCGGGCGGATCGCATTCTCCCAATGCGTTTTCCGCTTCCCCAGGCGCAGATCGCATTCTCCCAATGCGCTTTGACTGCCACCGGCGCGGATCGCATTACCCGCGTGCGATCTGGGATCCAAGGCGCGGATCGCTCTGCTGGCGTGCGCTTAGCCGTTGGATCGGCTGTCAATCGGACGATCTGGTGGATCGCAACGAGTCCTCCCCAAATCGCATCAGTCGGGTGCGTTTTATATTGTGGATTGCACCCCTCTGATGCGTTTTACGTGTAGATCGCATCTGTAAGGTGCGGTTTACATTTAAAACGCATCTTAGGGGTGCGTTCCAAAAAATAAGGTGCTATTAGTGGAATTTCTTTTAAATAGGTGCTATTTTTGTAATTTTTTTTTTAAAGGTGCTATTATTGGAAAAATCCCGGGATTGATTGCCTGATTGATCCTTGTGTCGGACTTTGGTTTTACTTGTTTGGATCAACGATCTCATCTCTTGTTTTGGATCACGGGCTCACGAGGATCGGCATTGATGGGCTGCTGCTGACTCTCAAGTCTCAATCTACCGTGTTTTGGGTACATGGGAGGCGTGCAGCCAAGAAGAACTTGTATATGCCTAAAATCAGGCCGGTTTAGTGGTTTAGGTGGCGGATCGGTAAGTCGGGTTAAGGGTTGAGATTCGATGAAGGGTTAAGTAATTAGAAGTAATTATGTGAATGTATGTGTAATTGTTTATCTTGATGGATGTTGTGTTATGTGTATATCCTTTCTTTTTGTGTGTATTTACTCAGTATTTTTAATATAACAGAATAGTTAACAATATCCGTTATGTTTTGTATCAAAAGTTGAAAATATCATAAACTAAGAAGCGCTATAAAATATAGGTATCAGTGGACCTATCTTTGATACCATGGCTATATCTCAGCTTGATTGTTCTATACATATATTACTCTGCTCATAATAATTTATATGATATGAATATTTAATGAAAAATGTAACATAAAATCGTAATAGATACTAATATAATTTTGCTTTACCGTAAGAATCAAAATTCAATAACACGACAATCTTTCTGGGAAGAAATGGTGAAAATTGTTAATTTAACTTACATTCTTCGTTATTTATTTTTTTTTTTTAGAAACATTTTTCGTTAATTTGAATATGAATATTGAGATATCGTTCCTTTTATTATTTATTTTAGTTTATAATGTAAAAGGCCCAATATATATTGGGTTAGCTGACTACAAATTAGAAGCCCAATTACATCACGGCCCAACGTCCTTCTACGGGCCTATCAGTCATCGACGTGGCGGGAACATATGGACACCGACAAGTCAAAGGCCACCGCAGACGGACAAGACATCCGAAAACCTCTGGCCTTCCCAATGCCAAGAAGAAGAACAACGCAGCTGCCTTTCTCTGACCAGTGACAGCCGATAAAAAAGAAAAACAAACACCCAACTTCGCTGCTGCAAATTCGGGCATCTAAAAAGAAACCAAGAGCCCAATCTCCCCTAACCATGGGGCTCTACTCCTTCACCTTGGCCGGCGGTGGCTACATCCTAATCGGCGCTTGGGAATCCCTCCGCCCAATCTCCGCCGCTGACCCATCGTCCAAATCAGAAACTTTGAGAACCGCGAATTCAAACCCAGATGCCGGTTCTTCTTGCACTTCTCCATTGACGTACGCCGCCGTCTGCCTCTTCTCCTTCCTCTTCATGGCCGACTCACTGATCTCCCTCTTCAGTGCCGTTGATTCCAACGACGGAATCGGCTCCGCCCTCCAGTTACAAATCCTCCCGATCGCCGCTCTCTTCTTCCTCTACTCGATTCTGGGTTTGGCAACCGAGCTCTCCTTAACCAATATTCGGTTCCCTTCCAAGCTCGTCAATCTAATCGCCCTCTTCGGCTTCGTCGAGGAATTCCTGCTCTACTACCTGCAAAAGAAGGACAAGACCGGGATTGAGAACAGGTACTTCGACCTCATCCTCGTTCCCATCGCGATTTGCATCTTTTCAACTCTTCTCGAATTGAAACTATCTGGGTCAGAATCAGAATCGAGTTGCTACCCGAGATTGGGCCGTGGGTTCGGGTTGATTCTGCACGGGACGTGGTTTGTGCAAATGGGGATTTCCTTTTACTCCAATTTGATTGTTCAGGGATGCCACTTGCGAGCCAAGAGTAGAGGGAACTATACCATAGCTTGTAAAGGCCATCCCGAGTACCATAGGGCTAATGGGATTGCTACACTTCAGTTTAACTGCCATCTAGCGTTGATTGTGGTCCTGGCTTCTGCTTTGTACTCGAGTATAGTGAAGAAGATGGGTGGTTACTGCGGTGGTGATTCGGAGAGAAGAAACTATAAGCCTCTAGGTGCTATTGCAGAAATGGTGCAGATGGAAAGTGGTGGTGGAACGTTTACTCTGGAGTCTGATGACGATGAAATTAGAGAAGAGGAGAATGGGAACAAGGAGTTGAGAGTAGGAGCTAATGGTTATGGTTCTCATGACTAAAGGTGAATGATATATAATTCTCTTCGTTCCCTATTTTCCTGTATACCTCACAGCAAAAGGAATTCATTTTTCTACTTCTTCCTGTTGTTCTGTAGATGGATCTCAGTTTTGTGGTTAATCAATAGAGAGATGATATGAATGAACACCCTTTTGGGGTGCATTAACATGATTCTCATTACTTCCCTTTTTCATATTCACAATCATTAGAGGTGTTCAGCCTTTGTCTTCCCTTTTGTGATCAATCATCATGGCCCATGGTGTATGGCTGTATGATGGTTTCAGGGCTTGGAAATTCTTAGAAATGCTCTGTTGATGGCTTCCTTTTTGTTTTTTCATTGCATGGGTTGTAAAGATCATGGGTGGGTGGGGAATGATTATTGCCATCTTTTCTGCTAGTGAGAATCCATTGTTGGTTAAGGAAGTCACTTTTCTGTTCTTTTCAATCATTTGGGTGTGATGAATAATAAACCAGAGAGTGGGAAAGTGACTTGCAGGCGGACTGTCACTGCACAAGATCAATCACTCCTCTAAATCCTCTTATCAAATCAAAATGACATGGTATATTGAAGTACTCATCATTTTGGGGGAAAAGTGGAGATGATTGAGAATGAGAGGGGGAATGTTTTCAACCTGGAACAAGCCAAATGTTTGCTTGTAACTTACTTCTGGTCAATTTTCTCTCCCTTGATCTTTTCCCCTTCCTGATATCATCACTGCCTTTTGGCCTATTGTTACTCGGTAGATTGTGTAACTTTTCTTCTTCATGTAGTCACGTGCTGAATGCCTGAATGATCCATGAAAGTTGGTTGAATTTTAGATTCAGCGACAGACAAATTGCTAACTGCCTAACTGGGATTGAATGAATTTCTTAATCTGGATCTGGTCCCTGTGCTGGTCCCCCATGGCATCCAGAATGCAACCATCATCTACTGCCCAATTGGGCAGCTTTGGTGGTGATGACAATGTTGTGTTGTTTAACTTGATTATGGTGTAATACTTTCATACGCAGATTCCTTTTAGGGAGAGGACATGAAAGAAAGGTGGTTCATTACTATATTAGAATGACAAACATCATCATTACATATGCTGGGTGTAAAAGAAGAGGCTTGTCTCTTCCAAATTTTTTTTTTTTTGACATTTTCCAATTTCATGACATATTATCTTTATCTGAACGGCTAATCTATTATTGCCTATTGGGGCCAAAGGTTTGCTCAATCACCATGAATCATACTATTTATTATCATAGGATTGAGCAAAGAGGGTGTCCATGAAATTTGAAAAATGAGATGATAAAAGGTGGAAACACCCTGTAACACCTTTTGTCGTCAAAGTAGATAACATTTATTGCGTTTTGAGTGTAGATCTTGTGATCGTAAAAACATTCGAAGACACATTATAGTATAGAAGTGATGATTTGTTTATCAAAACTTTTTGAGAGGACCTAAGAGTTACTATTATGAAAAACAAGTTGGTAGATCCTCATTTGGTTATTGACTGGCTTGGGATATGGGGGTATACGAAGGTACTTCAACACATATTGACTCTTCCATCACGATTCAAATGATACAATTTTTTTTAACTTTCCAACTAGATTTTTTAGTATATGTGAGGTACAATTTCTAGTTTTCCTACTTGAGTTTTGTTTACGTCAAGGCGAGTTACTTGCCTCCTCTTTCTTGGCAAGTCTGTCTCTCTCTCACATATGTTTGTGATTTGATCCATTTGCAGAATGAATATTTTATTTACTTTGCAAAGTCAAATACTCCAGTTATTGTTACGAGAGGAGGCAAGTATGACATTACGAGAGGTACTGCCACTCATGATTTGCTAATTAAGATATTGTGCTACACTCCTTAATTTTTCAATATGTTAAGAAAAATGTATACAGTATACTTCCTTGATTTTCAGAATAAATGGATCACTTTCATTGTCAAAAAGTAAACATATATTAGACTAATTTGATTTTCCAATCCAAATTCAGACCTTATACAGAGCCCTGAAGCCATGAACATCATCCCGGCTCAGCTTCTTCGTCACACCGTCCCCCACCGCCGGGTACATAATCGCCGTCGGCACCGAGCTGTGCATCAGCCCGAGAATATGCCCGATCTCATGCAAAGCCACCGTCTCGACGTCAAAAGCCTTCTGCACCGAGCCCACGGCCCAAGTCTCCTCCGAATCGAAGTGCAAAAGCCCAGACTCCGGTGGGCTCGAGTGGGCCAGCGACCCGCCCGGCCCATCAAACGAACCCGTGTCCCCGTGGAATCCGCTGAAGAACCCGATCTTAATATCGGCCGATCCCGCTTGATCCTCCGTCGTCGCCACGAACGCGAACCGCCCGTGGGAGTGCGCGCCCCACTTCTTGAACGCACGCGCCACCGGCTTCCTCGCCATCTCCGGCGTCCCCGGGAGGAACCCGTACGTCAGGTTCCGCTTCCCCTCCGGCCACGTCGGGTTCCCGGGGAAGAAGTTGTACCGCGCGGTGGTTCGGAAGCGGCTGTGGTGGTGGTGAGTAACTCTCGCCGGCGCCGCCATCCAGTTGGTGCCGTTGAGCACGTCGGGGACGCCGCAGCGCGGGGTTCTCATCATGGCCGCCGTTGGCGCGTCGAGCCGGCCGGTGGGGTCCAGCTTGAAGTTGGATTGGTAGGTCTTGAGAGCAGACTCGAGGAGCACGTCGAAGTAGTGGTCGTCGTCGATGTCGTCGACGGAGAGGTAGCCGTAGCGGCGGAGGTAGGTTTTGACGCCGGCGATGGCCGGGTGGCGGTCGCCGATTTTGGGGGCTTCGGTGAAGTGGTCGAGGAAAGAGGTGGCCGTGGAGTGGGCGTTTGATGAGGAGAAGAGGGTTTGAAGGAGGAGGAGAAGGGGAAGAAGGAGAAGAAAGAAGGAAGTGGACGTCATGGATGGAGATTATTGGGATTGAGCTAGTGAAGGAAGGAAGAAGAGAGGTTGAAGGAAATTTAATATAAAATTGGTGTGCGTGGGAATTGATTGGGCGGGAAGGGCTACGGAGGAGGATGATTTTGGGGATTTGATTTGATGAGGTGGCCGGCCGCCGGCCATTCTCTTCTTTGTCTTGTTGGAAAGTTGTCGGGGCGGAGAATGTATGTTGATGAGCTTTTGTACAAGAAACAAAATCTTAAGATGATATATTTGCTACTCCGGCGCCACACCGTCCAATCTCCATAGATCCTTTTGGGCAGCTCATTAGTTTACTAGCTAATAGTTTGCGTATGGTGAAAATTTTGGCAAAACGATTATTCAACCTTCAAGAATGGTTTGTGTTGTTAGCGGGTTTGGGGCTTTGGGTTTTATCTGTGGCCCATGTATATGTAGTTTCGTGTTGTAGCCCAGTAGAGCCCTAGCCAGCCGACGTATGTAGCGGAGAAGTTGTATAAATTGTCAATGTAACCTACCAACGAAACCTACGAAAAACCCTAATAATATTCTCAGCTCGGAGAGGTAAACTCTCCCGTGGACTAGTCCCGTTCTCGGGGAAACCACGTAAATCTGTGTGTCGTTTATTGTTCAGTTCAGCAAAATCAACATGGTATCAGAGCTTTCTATGACCGATTCTGATCGGCTGTCTGTTCGGCTCAATTCGAAGAACTATGCGTTATGGGAATTTCAATTTCGCATCTTTGTTGAAGGCAAAGGCCTTCTTTCCTTGTTGGATGGTTCTCTGCCGAGGCCTCAAGTCCCGCCGGCTACGGCACAGGAGCTTGAGCGATGGGTGCAAAACAATGCTCGGATCAAGTCTTGGATTCTCGGATCGGTGGATCCGAATATTGCTCTGGGATTAAGGTTGTACACGGCTGCATCGGAGATGTGGACCTCTTTGGCGCCGACGTACTCGACAACGAGTGTCGCTAGGCAATTCGAACTGCAAACGGCGCTCGCTCGTTTGGAACAAGGGGACCTGGATGTGACTGCATATTTCCAGGCTGCTCAGCTGCTTTGGACCGAGCAGGACCACTTGACTGCTTCGCTTCGACCAGCGGCAGCGACGGCCGATGCTGTTGCTGAGCGAACTCAGGCTCGGCTGATGCAGTTCTTGATGCGGCTTCGGCCTGAGTTTGAGAATGTCCGGGCGACATTGCTTAATCGAGAAGACATCAAGTTTGAAGGGGTGTTGAGCACGTTGGTCAGGGAAGAGACTAGATTGCGTACGCAATCACAACTGGACGCGCGGCCTGGAGTAGGTGATCACGCCTTCGCTGCTGGGCACTCCCGTCGTCATGAAGGTTCGTCTCTTGCTGTGGGCGATGAAGCATTTGCGCTGGGGAAGCCTCAATTTCAGCGCCGAGTTCCGGTGTCGGAGCTTACCTGCCATCACTGTCAAGAGGTAGGTCATGTCCAGAAATATTGCAAGGTTCGCAACTTTTGTGTGTTTTGCAAGAAAGGAGGGCACATCATATCGGAGTGTCGTCGGTTGAAGGCTCGACCTCAGGGTATGTCAAACTCACCCGCTGCTTCTGCTGGGGGTGCGTATTCTGCTGCTGTTGCCACGAACGCGGTTGCTGGTCAGGGAGAGGGCTCGGCCGCGTCTTCGGGATTGACTGCGGCGGATGTGGAGAGGCTCATTAATGCTGCTCTTCACAGGTCACTACCCACGGCCATTACAAATGCATTCTCCACGATGCCTGGGTCTGGTATTTTATCTAACCCTTGGCTTCTAGATTCAGCATGTTTTAATCACATGACAAATGATAAGACTAAGATGTGTGATACTCGCCCCGTTGAGAATTTGTCTATTCAAGTGGCTAATGGGTCTCGCCTATCTGTTGAGCATATTGGTGATGTTCAGGATTCTTGGCTATCATTACCTCGTACATTACATGTTCCTACTCTAGTGCCCAACTTGGTTTCGGTGGGTCAGCTTACTGAGCAAAATTGTCGTGTTGTGTTCGATTCTTCTGGCTGTTTTATTCAGGATCAGAGGACGGGGAGGCAGATCGGCCGGGGAAGTAAATGGGGGAGGAGTTTTCAGCTGGAGGAGCTGTCGGGTCAACCTTATTCGTCGGCGTCCGTACCTGAGATGTCAGGGTTGGTGTCTGAGGGATTGGTTTCTCAGCCTTTGTTTTCGGCTTTATCTAGTGTTAAGAATTCGGATATTGATCTTTGGCATTCTCGTTTGGGTCATCCTCATTCGAGTAGACTGAGTACTATGTTCAAACAGCAATTATTTGGTAATAAAAAGGTTGATAGCTCTTTTGGTGAGTTCGTTTGCACTAGTTGTATTGAAGCCAAGACGACGCGTAGCTCTTTTTCATCTAGTACTACTATTATATCGGAACCTTTTCATGTGGTTCATACAGACCTTTGGGGTCCTTCGCCGGATACGTCTCGGCATGGTTATAAGTACTTCGCTTTGTTTGTGGATCATGCGACTCGATTCACTTGGGTCTATTTTCTTCGGCTTAAATCTGAGTTGCTTGTTATTGCTCAGGAATTTGTTAAGATGATTCAGACGCAGTTTGGGCATACAGTGAAGGTGGTGCGCTCGGATCCCGGAGGTGAGTTTAGTTCTCATCCTTTGGCTGCTTTCTTTCGGGATCAGGGTATCTTAACACAGAAATCATGCCCCGGTGTTTCTCAGCAGAATGGTCTAGTTGAAAGAAAAAATAGGCATGTAGTGGAATTGACTAGAGCTTTACTGCTTGCATCATCAGTTCCGCCCCGGTTTTGGCCTGAGGCCGTTGCCACCGCTGTACGATTGATTAATTACCAGGTTACTCCGGTTCTTGGGCAGAAGAGTCCGCATTTCATGCTTTTTCAGAAGCATCCTGACTATTCCCGGCTCCGAGTGTTTGGGTGTCTGTGTTTTGTCTTGCTCCCCAGGAAGGAACGCACGAAGTTATCCTCCAAAACAGTTCGGTGTGTATTTCTTGGTTACAGTGATGTCCATAAAGGGTACCTATGTTTTGACTCTTCTTCCCAGCGTCTTCAGATATCTTGTGATGTCATCTTTTTTGAGCGGACCATGTATTTTTCTGCGGATTCTGAGGCTTCTTCGGGTTGGTTATCGGGGCCTGTTCGGTTGCCCTCGTTTTCAGATGAGCTCGATGACGTTGCTGATGAGCAACCTCCTCCCGACTCGCTTCCCCCCGACTCTCCTTCTGGCGGATCGCTGTTTGGCTCCCCTAGTTCTTCTTCGTCCAGCTCGTCGGATGACTCATCCTCATCGCAGCCCGTGGAGCCACCTGTTCTTCGGCGGTCTCATCGTGTTACGCAAAGTCACCGTCCGGTGAGGTATAATGACTTTGTTGCATATAATGTTGATGCTGTTTCTGTTCCTACGTGTTTTAAGCAGGCTCACGATGATCCGATGTGGGATGGTGCGATGGATGTGGAGATCGATGCCCTTCATGCTAAGGGCGCTTGGGAAGTGGTCGATAGGCCACCTCCTCATGTACCGGTTCTAGGCTCACAGTGGGTATATGCATTGAAGCTTCGCGCCGATGGGAGTATTGAGCGTCCGAAGGCTCGGGTTGTTGCTCAAGGTTGTGGACAAGAGTACGGCCTGGATTATGAGGAAACATTTGCTCCGGTTGCTAAAATGCAAACGGTTCGGACGTTACTTGCAGTGGCTGCCATTAGGAATTGGCCTTTGTTTCAACTGGATGTTTCTAATGCTTTTCTCCATGGTGATTTAAAGGAGGTTGTTTATATGCGCCGTCCCCCGGGTTATAAGGTTGGGCGCCCAGATCAGGTTTGTCTGCTCCGTCGATCGCTCTATGGTCTCAAACAGGCGCCCCGCGCTTGGTTTGAGAAGTTTCAAACGACGATTCTTGGTCTGGGTTTTCAACAAAGTCTTAATGACCCTTCTCTGTTTACTCATAGGTCAGCTGCTGGGATTATTGTCCTACTCTTATACGTGGATGATATGATTATTACAGGCGATGATTTGTCAGGCATTCAGCGGCTCAAAAAGGGCCTTCATAATTCGTTTACGTTGAAGGAGCTGGGTAATCTGTCTTTTTTCTTGGGTCTTGAGATTAATCGATCTCCACAGGGTATTTTGCTGAGTCAAAAGAAATATATCTCGGAGCTCTTGACGTCGGCCGCCTTTGCGGATTGTGTCTCGGTATCCACTCCCATGGAAGCTAATCTGAAAACTGGCCAAGGAATCTGGTGCGCCACTCCCTAATCCCTCCCAGTATCGCCATTTGGTTGGTAGTTTGATTTATTTGACTTCCACTCGTCCCGATATTTCCTATGCAGTACAGGTCGTGAGTCAGTTTATGTCGGATCCTAGGACTGATCACTTGGCTGCAGTTCATCGTATATTACGTTATTTACAGGGGACGAGGGATGTGGGTATCTTTCTCCCGTCCACAGGTGACTCTACTCTGCAGGCTTTCTCTGACTCTGATTTTGCTGGGTGTGTGGATACTCGTCGTTCGACGACGGGCTGGTGTATTAGATTTGGAGGTGCTTTTATTAACTGGCGGTGCAAGAAGCAGGACAAAGTGTCTAAGAGCTCGACGGAAGCTGAATATCGGGCTATGTCTAATGTGGGTTCTGAGTTGGTATGGTTGCAGCGGCTGCTGGCAGATTTGGGTGTGCAGTGTCGTTCTCCGCTCACGGTGTATGTGGATAATACGAGTGCGATTCAGATTGCGGCCAATCCTGTCCTCCATGATCGTACGAAACATATTGAGATTCATGTTCATTACATTCGAGATTTGGTTCATGACGGGATTGTTCGCCTTCAGTATGTGCTCTCTGCAGATCAGCTGGCGGATTTGTTTACGAAGCCATTCTCTCGTGCTCGCCACTGGTTCCTCTCTGACAAATTGATGCTCCGGAGTAGTCATCAATTTGGGGGAGGCTGTTAGCGGGTTTGGGGCTTTGGGTTTTATCTGTGGCCCATGTATATGTAGTTTCGTGTTGTAGCCCAGTAGAGCCCTAGCCAGCCGACGTATGTAGCGGAGAAGTTGTATAAATTGTCAATGTAACCTACCAACGAAACCTACGAAAAACCCTAATAATATTCTCAGCTCGGAGAGGTAAACTCTCCCGTGGACTAGTCTCGTTCTCGGGGAAACCACGTAAATCTGTGTGTCGTTTATTGTTCAGTTCAGTTCAGCAAAATCAACATGTGTATGAGTGAAAAAGATATTTACGTTGTAACGAGATACTCTTATAATTTAAGAAATGAATTATCCAACCTCAATAGTAATCATCTATATATGTGACATAAAATCATTCAAATGATAAAATATTGGATATAATTTAACTTTTAGAAGTATAAAATTCCTTGAATCTGCCACGGAAATTTCTCTCCACTTGTGTACGTATATAGGTACCCATTTATTTATTGAAGCATATATATCCCAGCCTACGTATACGTTATATACCGTATACTTAGATTATAGTACGTACGTACGTAGCTTACCCACCAAATTAAAGTAAGTAAGCAGGGATCAAACGTTATATAAAGCCCTGATCCCTTGAATATCATCGGCATTCAAACCCTTCACAGCTCCAACACGAATAATGGAGAACATAATCGCCTCCTCCACGTCGCTATGGTCGAGCCCCAAGAGATGGCCGATCTCATGCAGCGCCACCGTCTCCCAGTCCATCGCCCGGGGGTTCCTGATCCCCCAACTCTCGTCCGCATCGTAGTGAAACCTACCGTCCTCCGGCGCAAACGCGTGAGCCACCGACCTACCCACGCCGTCGAAAGGAAACCCGTCCCCGTGGTCCCCGCTGTAGAACCCCACCCTGATGTCCACGGTGTCGTCTCCGGGGTCCCCACCGACCCTCCGGAACTCGAACTGCGTGTTCTCGGCCCACGTCTGGAAAGCACGCGCCACCGGCGCCACCGCTTCCTCCGGGGTCCCCGGGAGGATCTGGTAGGAGAGCCTCGTCTTCGAAGCTCTCCACCTGGGGTTCCCCCGGAAGAACGAGTAGTGAGACACGGCGTGAAGCCGGCCAGTACTACCGTGACGTCGTGGGGTTTGCATGTAGTTGGTGCCGTTGATGATGTCAGCCACGCCACAGCGTGGGGTCATCATGGAGGCGACGGTGGCGGAGTCCATGGCGCCGGTGACGTTGAGGTGGTAGTTGGCCTGGTAAGTCTTGAGGGCGTTCTCGAGGCGGTGGTCGAAGTAGTGGTCATTGGAAGAAGGGGAGGTTTGGTTGGTGTAGTCGAGGTATCCGAACTTGTGGAGGTAGGCTTTGAGCTTGGGGATGTCCTTGAGCTTGTCGCCCTTGTGGCAGCCTTTGAGGTGTTGGAGGAAGGCGACTCGAGATGACGGTGATGATGTTGAGTTGTGTAGGACGTGAGCGTGGGATAGTAGAGGGAGGAGGAGGAGGAGGCAAGCTATTAGGGTTAGTGCAAATGAGGGTGTTTTGGGTTCCATACTGGAAGCTATGGCTGCGTTAGGTTTTTACGTTTGGAAGGGTGATGTATGTTTTTTGCGGTTTGATTTTCAAGTGATGCTGAACTTTTTGGCGAATGGTGCATTTGTAGTCCTCCATGGCTCCATTGATTGGAGAACAACAAGAATTTGATGACCTTCTTCTCTTCTTCCACATTTGTCTACAGACGACTTGGCTGAAAACTAGCAAGGACGGATAGCTCAGGTTTGGCGTCCTTCACGGGCGGAACTCGGAAGAAGACTTGGTGGACTTATGGAGGGTGGTGCAAATGACGAGATCAAACTATAAGAAAAGTTGAGGGATGACAATTGTCACTTCGAGGATTCACACTTGCTATACTTTTCGCTACTATAACAAATTTGAATTTTGATTAAATTCATATTCTCTTATGTATCAAGATTTAATTGAAGGATAAATCTATAATGTGAAAGAGTAAAGAATACACATATATACATGGTTTATTAACATAATGGTGGTAGCTACGTCTATGGATAGGGGAGATCAAATTCACACTTTCACTAAATTGAATTCCAGTCGATTACAAATAATCCGACTTAAAGTTATAGCAACATTTTGGATAGCAAATAAAAGTTATGTTCATAATAATAATTTTCTCTTTATCATCTCTATTAATATGTTACAAATGCGGATACACGAACAATTACACAAATGAAATATTATAACAGTAAATCACAAAAGGAAATACTCATATATACGAATTTTCAATATGGGGAGAGAAAGAAGAAAATTCCAAGCTAGAAAACGGTCTTTTACATTTATCAAAGAATGGTCGTCCCATATATATGGTACGTTCTACTGCAACTAGGCGATGCGTAAGTGTGTGGCTTGCATGCATGAGACTGAGAGTGTATAACACGTCCAAACTAAGTCCGCACATGCAATTAAACGCAAGGACAAATTAAGAAACTAAAGATTCCTCTGTGGAAAACTATGGCCGGCTAGACCCCGGCGAGTTACTACATCAACTCAATGTCCCAATTCGCCGCACCTACGGATGAAGGGAGGCCAGTATCAAAACTAGCTAGGGCATCCCGATCGCCGGAGATCGTGGATGCCGGCCGCCTTATAGCCATAAGCCTTTCATGGCTGTGGTCTATAAATTCTCCTTCTTCTTGTTCGAAATTAAACACAAATCAAAATCATGAACAAGGCTAAGGCGATTCACCAAGCAGCAGCCACTATAATATTGTCGGTGGTGGCCATCTCCTTAATTACTCATCACCATGGCGGCAGCATTCGAAGTATCTGGTCATATTTGTGACGACGACCTGTTTACGTGCGACCAAGGACGTTGCTGTAGTCAGTACGGATATTGTCAAAGCTGTCCCACAGACGACCATCCTGATAATTATTTTCGCAACAATACTGGCACAAATCACGTCATCGCCGGAAAACGTAACGAAGCCGGTAGCAGCTGCCGGAGCTCATCATGGAAACTATGCACGGTTACGAATTTTACCCTACTCGATTAGGTCGGATTCAGACGGATATCCACGGTTATGAATTTTTTTGCTGTAAAAGATAATAATATGAATAATCAAAATATTTTGTTTTAAAAAACTATTATTTTTCTGTTATTCTAACAACACAAAATATTTTTTTTCAAATTAAGTTCAATATAATATTTTTAATAACTTAAGAGCATTAAAAAAGTTATAATTTTGCGGACAAATATTCATTTTTTTATCATAAAGTATCATTAATATTGAATAATTTAATTAATCTAATTTAAAATTAAGGAACTAACAAACCAAAATATGGAATTTGAAGGGAAGAGATAGTGTACAAAATCCATTACTATAAATCCACTGCAAACCCCATCATCCACCCTTTATAACTATTTTTCTTAATCAGATCCTATAATAGTCATTTTTTTTCAAAACTTATAATATTTTGCATAGGAATAAAGCATTTATTATGATCTACACAATAATATTCATTTTGTTGTATTTTCAGAAGAAAAAAAAATATCTCTTCAAAATACATCTTGATTATAGTATTATTATTATTATTATCAGATTTATCATATCATCATGATATGATAGTAATAAGATGGTCCCAAGTGATACACGATATCTTGTGTAGATGAATAGTAGACTGCAATTCGAGTAGCTCATGAAAATAAGAAAAGAATTTATAGGCTTTGTGTCGACCACTAGTTCCGGTATATGCATGACGTCAGGAAAATTGGGTTAGATCGTCTTCTTTGGTTATTGTTTTTTCATATCATGTCTTCTAACATGGTATCAAAATCTGCAAATATGAATAACTCTGATCATATATATTCCGACACAATTGAACTTGATCAAGAACTTTGTGTTGTAGAAATTTTGATTTTGAATCTCGTATTGAAGGTCCCCACATTGACTCTAGAGTACTTCCGCATGCAAGAGTTGGACAAATTCCAATACGACTTGTAGCTAGGACTCGAGATTGATCACTCAGGTTTTACTTAAATACATCCAGCTAGCAATCCTCCGCTCCAAACCCTAAACATAAATACATCTATCCATATGATGATCTCATTCCTCAATTACCTTACGTACAAAAGCTAGCTAACTAGCTAGGTATAGCAATTATGGTTTGTCAAATCGTACCGGTCTAACAAGTCGGTGGCATGAAACTTTTGGTACTATAATGTAATTTAACAGATGGCATACATATATAATACGGTAGTTAAAATAAGATAATATATTAAACTAGTAATATACAGATGTAAGGTAGCCATAAATGCTCGATATTACTCGATCGGACCGTCAATTGAACTTCATTATAGTACCACTCAGTGATCGAGTAATAAAACAATTAATGAAAATAAAAAAGATGGTCATAATTATTAATTAATACACATTTATTTTTATATTTTTGGTAAACACATGACGCATAAATGGTGTCCTTGCTTGCACCTTATATTAATCGGGATTGAGCAATGTTCCATAGAGTAATACATGATCCAAAATCTAAGTCTTGGATCGAAAGGATTAAACAAAGAGAAGGCGGAGTTTACATGATGACCTTTATTAAGAAATCAGCGGGGGGTTATTTTTTTCCATTCCCGGTAAATATGGGAGATTTTATAACCTCCCAGTATTGTTGAAGAAGGTGGCGGAATTGGTGAACCGGACTGTAGTAGTGATGCTCAACCACCTATTTAATTAGTTGTATGTAAGTTCAAAATGACGAGATAAACTAATTAACGACCTAAGATTGAATTTGAGATTTGGTTTTCTCAATTAGTTGATTTAGGGACTTTAAACACTAGACATTTATTAGAGAAATTAACGTATTAAGAGCCTTCGAATACCTTACGTCATCAATTAGCCAAGCTAGGTAGCAATCATGGTTTGTCAAATTGTACCTTATAGATGTGGACTACTTATCACATAATTCACCTTGAGAGTAGTCAGAAGAAAAGACAACTTCTTTTCTCATGGATAAGAATTTTTCCCGTTGAACTTCTCCAATAATTTCCATAGTCGGAATTGTAAGTTTCTTGTAAGGAGTAGTTTGAGCCTTTCATATTAAAAAATATTTTATTATTATTGTTAGGTGTATATGAGACTATGGTGTATGATTGATAGCCCAAAATCATAAATCTTATATCGGTAATTATAAGAGGTTCAAGTATAAATCTTGTATATATGCTCATTCTTTTACTATATTAATTTAAGTGCAAATAAATTATGAATTAATACAAAAGCAATCAACATTATGCTTAATCAATTCATAGTTTCATATGTCATGCTGACAAATGATATGATATCCAGTAAATACATCCAAAAAAGCTATAGAAAATCACTGCTAAATAGAGTGATAATAAGTAACACCATCCTTTTCCTCTTGATTTTGCACGTATATATAGACACATCTTCTACGTACGAAACCATTTATTTATAAGAGTATATCCCAGACCCAGCGTATTACCCTCAACATATATTTGTATAACTATATTAATTACTAGCTTCAACCCCTGCCCTTTGGGCAGGTAGCTTTTTCGTTTATTATGTATATGTATAATCTCTTTATTAAAGTAACAAATTTTCTAAAATCACATAGATAATCTATAAAAAAGTCAAATAGATTCATCAAAAGTTTTAATATCTCTTATTAAATTAGAACACAAAACTCACCTCCTTGAGATACCTAAAAAAGAGAGAAAACATGCATCGTTTTTCAGTAAATAGTAGAATGTGCATTCATCTTAATGATGATTCAAAGAAAAATATGGTGGGCATATCATGTTATCTTGCAACTTATACTTTAGTCAATTTATGGAATTGCATACGATGTTTAATCCTACCGTCTAGAGTTAAGAGTTATTTAACAACAGACATCTAGCAATTGAAAATCCAACTGATGCGGTAGATTAGAAATCTCGAAGAAAGTTAGATTGAGTCTTTAAATAAAAATGATGTTATAAAAAAATTGTCAAGTGTTGAGAATGAGCGAGATTATGTGCATGAAAGAAAATTTTGAGGGGATGGAAAGGTTCTTTGACTTTTGTGGATATGCGAAGTTTTGTAGAAAGTTCACTCGGTACTCGGTAACACAAATATTTATTAGAATAATTTAGAAAACATATTATTATTATTTGAATGAGTAAATAATTATAATTATGATTAACTAATTATCATAAAAAATATTAATAAATTATCCTACAATCTCTCTCTCATCTCTCACGGAACCAAAAGAAAGGGACAAAAAAAAACAAAGAAAAGCACTGTGGAAGCAGAATTCTTAAAAGGAAAGAAGCCTTGTCCAAATAATTGGCAGTTAGCAAACGGAGAAGAGAAACAAAATTAAAAGAAAAGAACAAAAAGATCAAAAGAAACCGTTCGGAAGAGGGAAACATTAAAAGAAAATGAAAATTCAGTAATTACCGAGAAGAGCGGAGAAGCCAGCGAGGCTGACGTGGAGAGGGTTGATTTTCTAAACTGCTTTAATATATTTTAAGATTCGATCATAATAAGATCGGTTACTACATTTAATTAGCTACCCGCTATATAAAACCCTAATCCCTTCAATATCATCCCCATGCAAACCCTTAACCTCACCAACACCGATACCGGAGAACATAACCGCCTCCCGGACGTCGCTGTGGCCGAGCCCCAAGAGATGTCCGATCTCATGCAACGCCACCGTCTCCAAGTCAAACGCCCCAGGGTTCCTGATCCCCCACCTCTCGTCCCCGTCGTAGTGAAACCTCCCGTTCTCCGGCGCAAACGCGTGAGCCAACACGCCACCTTCTCCGTCGAAATCCGCCCCGTCCCCGTGGGCCCTACGGTGGAACCCCACCGTGATGTCCACGGTACTCCCGGGGTCCCCTCCAGTCCTCTGAAACTCAAATCGCGTGTTCTCAGCCCAGGTCTGGAAAGCACGCGATATTGGGCCCACCGCTGCGTCTGGGGTCCCCGGGAGGATGAAGTAGGAGAGCCTCGTCTTCGAGGCTCTCCACCTGGGCCTCCCTTCAAAGAAAGAGAAGTGAGCCACCGCGTGCAGCCTGTGGCTGTGACCGCGTCGTCGGTTCTGCATGTAGTTGGTCCCGTTGATGATGTCAGCCACGCCACAGCGCGGGGACATCATCGAGGCCACGGTGGCGGAGTCGAGAGCCCCCGTGGCGTTGAGGTGGTAGTTGGCCTGGTAAGTCTTGAGGGCTTTCTCGAGGCGGTGGTCGAAGTAGCGGTCGTTGGAGTGGTTGGAAGGGGAGGTTTGGTTGGTGTAGTCGAGGTATCCGAACTTGTGGAGGTAGGATTTGAGCTTGGGGATGTCTTTGAGCTTGTCGCCCCTGTGGCAGCCTTTGAGGTGCTGGAGAAAGGCAAATGGAGATGGAGATGGTGGTGATGTTGAGTTGTGATGGCCGTGAGCGTGGGAAAGTAGTGGGAGAAGGAGGAGGCAAAGGGCTAGTGCGAATGAGGATGATGATTTGGGCTCCATGGCCACTCACTATGGATTTCTTTGAAGGTAAGTATTTGGGGTTTGAGCTTGAAGTGATGCTAAACTGTTTGATGTGTGGTGGATTTATAGCCCTTGGGGAACAAGAACAATTTGATACCCACCTTGATCTCTTCTTCTCTCCACTTGTGAGACGACTTGACTTAGCTTAAAACGTATGAAGGGTTAACTGAAAGAACAATTTGATACCCGCCAGCTTCTCTATCTTCTCGAAGAATAACAAACACTTAATTAAGATGAATAGTTCAAGTAGTTCAGCGTGTTGAATGGGCAGGGGGAGACCTCTGTCGGCTTAAGGAGGGTAGCCAAAAATGACGAGATCAATATATAAGCAGAGTAATTTATACGTATTTTCTTTTCTATGTTGTTTTCTGAATTTATTATAAATTTAACATATACTCTTACTAGCATTTAGATAAACTTTTACTTACATTTATTATAAATTTAACTGTATATAGTGCATGGATATATAATACTGGAAAGGCTGACTATTTGGTTTGAGTTTTTTGGTTTTACCCAAACTCGGACCGGGACCAGATAGTAAACAATCCAATCCAATCTTTCGGCTTAGATTTGAGGTAAAAAATCGTTTGGGACCGGATCGAACACTGGATAAAGACCGGATAAGAGAGCTCAATACCCAAAACTTAAGGGTAATTTGCATAAACGTGTTGACAAATGTAGCGGAGTATAATCGAAACGGAAATAGAAATCACACAGAGGTTTACGTGGTTTCCTTGATCGATGTGATCAAGACTAGTCCACGGCCGAGGCTATCTACTTTCGTATTAACTTAACCTCAAAGCATGTTCAAGATACACATATATATATATATATGGGTTAGACTGGCATACGTCAGACGTATACTATACGTCAGGTACTACTAGTGAGATATCTCTATCTAGACCATGAATTAAATCGAGTTTGGGGTATGATACTATACCCTAACCTCTAATGGATAAACACCAGGCACCGAGTTTCTAAACTCTAACCCGAAGTTTGATTTAATGAAAAACAAAAAAAATGACCGTTGAGATCGGCCGGAGCTCATCTAACAACATCTAACGGCTAAATCACCTGACGTATACTATATGCCTGACGTACACCAGTCATCACCATATATATATATATAACCTAACCCTAGCCGAGATGAGTAAGGTCGGCCAGAGAGGTCTTCTTCCTAGACTAGGCCAATTACTACTATACAATATTACAATGGGCTGAAGCCCATGCTAATATACGTAACTCAACAGCCTCCCCCAAATTGATGGAGGTCTCGCATCATCAATTTGCCAGCGAGATAGAAATGACGACTAGCAGTAAAGGCCTTAGTCAATAAGTCAGCAATCTTATCCTCAGACTTAACATGGAAGATACGAATAATGCCATCTCGAACCAGGTCACGAATATAATGCACATGAACCTCAATGTGCTTTGTACGATCATGCATAACCGGATTAGTCGCAATTCGGATAGCACTGGTGTTATCAACATAAAGCTCCATAGGAATCTCACAAGTCACCCCAAAATCATTAAGCAACCGCCGAAGCCGCTCAAGCTCAGACACCACATCAGACATAGCTCTGTATTCTGCTTCGGTGGAGGACTTGGATACCCGATCTTGTTTCTTGCACCTCCAAGAGATGAAAGAACCGCCAAGACGAACACACCAACCTGTCGTGGAACGACGTGTATCAACACATCCTGCATAATCACTGTCAGAGAAGGCCTGGAGAATAAAGGAACCCATCGCAGGAAGGAATAACCCAACTCCTCGAGTACTCTGAAGATATCTAAGAAGACGGTGTACAACTGCAAGATGATCCGTCCGAGGAGCTGACATGAACTGGGCTACTACCTGAACTGCATAGGCAATATCAGGACGAGTCGATGTAAGATAGATAAGACTTCCTACAATACTCCGATACTGCTTACCACCGTCGGGCAAGAGATCACCTGTTTCCCTCCCCAGTTTCACATTCATCTCCATGGGAGTGGACACAGGAGTACAGTCCGAGAACTTCGTCGAATCAAGGAGATCAGTAATGTACTTTTGCTGACTAAGCAGAATACCCTCCGGTGATCGCTGTACTTCTAAACCCAGGAAGTAAGAGAGTGAACCAAGCTCCTTCAATGTAAAGGACTCATGTAGACCCTTAGTAAGTTCCTTAATCCCAATCTCATCATCACCAGTAACAACCATATCATCAACGTAGAGAAGAAGAATAACAATACCTCGTGGAGAGCGTCGTGTGAATTAGGAAGGATCGTTCGGACTCTGCTAAAACCCAAGATCCAAAACAGTAGACTGAAACTTATCAAACCACGCACGCGGAGCTTGCTTGAGGCCATAAAGGGAACGTTGAAGCAGACAGACAGGATCTGGGATGTCGGATGGAGGAGTGTAGCCAGGAGGGAGTTCCATATAAACAGTCTCCTTAAGTTCACCATGTAAGAAGGCGTTCTTGACATCTAGTTGATAAAGAGGCCAACGGCGAATAGCCGCCACGGCGAGGAGTGTTCTCACCGACACCATCTTAGCCACCGTAGCAAATGTCTCATCAAAATCGACACCAAATTCCTGACTGAACCCCTGAGCAACAACACGAGCCTTATGTCTTTCCAAAGAACCATTCGGAAGAAACTTAAGAGCATACACCCAGCGGGAGCCGACCACCGGTCGATCCGGAGGACGGGAAACAACAACCCACGTCTGATTAGCAAGAAGAGCACGAATCTCCTCCGTCATTGCTCCATCCCAAGCCAGATCACCACGAGCCTGGGAATAACGAGTAGGGACTGCAAGAGCATCAACACCAAACGAAACATAATCACCATAGCGAGGAGGAGGTACCCCAAGTGTAGATCTCGTGGAACGGCGAACTGGGGGCTGAGGTCCCGATGAACCAGGTGGCGATGAAGCTGGTGACGGAGGCGATGGCGGAGACGGCGGAGGGGAGGGAGGCGGGCTGGGATCAGGGTGCTGGTCAAGGTCAAGAAGAGTATCGTCACCTTCATCGTCATCGGAAAAAGAAGGAAGACCCAATGTCGTATCAAACAAAGAAGTGGTAGTGGAGGACGAGGAGTAAAACATGAGATTTTCTAAGAACACAACGTTACAAGCTATACGGACACGACGAATATCAGGATCATAACAGAGATAACCCTTATAAATATCACTATACCCAAGAAAAACACAACGAGCAGTCTTAGACGTCAACTTAGTACGCTCCGAGCGAGGAAGCAATACAAAACACAAACAACCGAAGACACGAAGGCGGGAATAGGGTGGATGTTTGCCAAACAGTTTAAAATAGGGACTCGACTGACCAAGAACAGGTGTGATTTGATAATTAATCAATCGAACAGCTGTAGACATTGTTTCAGGCCAGAAAGTAGACGGGACACGAGAGGAAAGAAGAAGGGCACGAGTGACCTCAAGAACATGTCTATTTTTTAGTTCCACAAGACCGTTTTGCTGAGAGACACCAGGACAAGATTTTTGGGATAGAATACCGAGAGAGGCATAGAGGCTGAGCAAAGGAGTCGAGCTAAACTCTCCTCCAGGATCAGAACGGACTACACGAACAGTCCTATCAAATTGAGTCTTAATCATCTGCAAAAATTCAGTGGTAACAGGCAAAAGATCGGATTTAAGACGTAAAAAGTATACCCATGTAAACCGAGTAGCATGATCGACAAACAATGCAAAGTACTTGTAACCATGGCGAGAAGTAACTGGACTAGGACCCCAGAGGTCAGTATGAATCAAGTGAAAAGGCTCTGTAATAATCGTGGTGCTCGAAAGGAAGGAAATTCGAGTAGTTTTAGCTTCAACACAATTTTGACAAGAAAAATATGACAACCGATCAATTTTAGTGTTGGAACCAAATAACTGTTGACGAAACATGGTTACAAGTCTACTGGAATTGGGATGACCCAATCTAGCATGCCACAACTGAAATTTTTGATCACTAAGACTCGAATAAGCAGGAAATGACAAAACCCTAGACACCGAAATAGAATCCGATGACGACGAAAAATGGGGGGACGCGGTGACGAGCTCATCCATCAAGAATATCCGACCTTGTTTTCTACCCTTCCCGAGCTCCCTCCCCGTCTTCATGTCCTGTACAACACAACCATAAGGTGCAAAAATAACCCGACAACCTTGCTCAGTAAGTTGTCCCACAGAAACCAGATTAGGAACCAATTTAGGAACATGAAAAGTATCGGGCAGCACAATATGATCATCATTAACCGAACCAACACCAGAAATCATAAGTTTATCTCCGTTAGCGACTTGTAATGAGAGGTTCTGAACTGGATGTACCTCGCTAACAACAGAACGATTACCAGTCATATGATTAAAGCATGCAGAATCGATAATCCATTTCGAGAATTTACCTGTGACCTGAAGGCTAGCAAAAGCAGAGGAGATAGCCTTATTCACCATGCTTTCAAGTGCGGCAGGTGTAACAAGAACTCCATCCGAACCAGCAGTAGGAGTTGCAGCGTAGGCAGGACGAGATCGCCCACGTGGATGATCATATCGACCTCCCCGGCCTGTGGCAGAGCCTGAACTTTCAACATCACCCATCCGTTCTTGAAGTAACTCACAATCAGAGATAATATGACCCCTTTTCTTACAGTAAACGCAAAAGTTTCGCTTGCGGCAGTACTTCTTTGTATGGCCCTTGTCGTGACAATGGTGACATTCCACCTCGGAGAGAGGACGACGAGGAGCGGAGGAACGGTAGGCAGCAAATGCAGAAGCATGTGTCTCATCGTCATCATTAGAAGGGGCAGGGAGAATCCCAGGACGAGGTGCACCGGTGCCTGCGTGGGAGCGAGATCCCCCTGAAGCAGCGCGGGTGGTCTTGTAACCTTCACCAGGCGCAGCGCCTGTAACGCTGAACGCCGCAACATCAACGCGGCCAGGTCTTGCATCAATTACAACCTGGGTACGCATCCTAGTCTCTTCTCGAATCAGATCAGCAAGGATCCCTTCCAGCCGAAGGGAATCACGATTAAGCAGCGTTGCCCGCAACGACTCGAATTCAGGTCGAAGGCGCATGAGAAATTGGAGCAGTCGAATTTTGGTCTTCTCGGCCTGAAGTTCAGGTGGTACGGGCTGGGTAAGAAGCGTCGAGGTAAGCATGTCTTGTTCCGTCCATAGCTGACGCGCCGCATTAAAATACGACGCCACATCGAGTTCTCCTTGGTGGAGATTTGCTAGCTCGACTTCCAGCTCAAACTGACGATTAGCGCTTGTTGCGGAATACGTCTCGGCCAACGATTTCCATACAGCAGCAGCGGTTGGGAGAAGGCGCAAGCCCAGAACTATAGAGGGATCCACTGAATTCATGATCAAGGAACGTACCTTTGCGTCCGTCTGCAGCCATTTCAGGACGTTCGCCTCGGTTGATGGCGGAACTGTAGGTTTAGCACAAGTGCCATCGAGGAATCCAAAAAACCCTTTGCCCTCGATGAAGATCCGAAACTGAAACTCCCACAACGAATAATTCTTGGAGTTCAGGCGAGTAGTGATCCGATCGGAATCCAAACTGGTGAGCTCTGATACCATGTTGACAAACGTAGCAGAGTATAATCGAAACGAAAATAGAAATCACACAGAGGTTTACGTGGTTTCCTTGATCGGTGTGATCAAGACTAGTCCACGGCCGAGGCTATCTACTTTCGTATTAACTTAACCTCAAAGCATGTTCAAGATACATATATATATATATAACCTAACCCTAGCCGAGATGAGTAAGGTCGGCCAGAGAGGTCTTCTTCCTAGACTAGGCCAATTACTACTATACAATATTACAATGGGCTGAAGCCCATGCTAATATACGTAACTCAACAAAACGGTCACAAACATTTGCACTTAGTACAAAACTTAACCAACTCCTCACACTTTCAGGCCTTAGGCCACTCAAATCCCCACAAGCTCAATATAAAATCAGGACTTGGGACCGGACCGGGTCAAGATCGGACCAGATCAAGACTGGATTGTATCCAATCCAATCTTTAGTCCTTATATTTTCGAAAAGACCGGACTGGATCCGGATCAATTTGGGTCAATTTAATCGGACCGGACCGGACCGTATAGCCCACCCTAGATACTGGTGAGAGCATATAACATGTAAAAAAAAAAAAAGTCTACACATGCAAGAACAACTCAAATGTGGACCAATTCCGTCTTCTACCTCTCCCGCCTGTGGAAATTTAGCTTAGGTAGACCCGGAGACTCGAGCAGTGCAGGGTCTTCGGGTTGTCATTTTGCTTTCCTAACTAGCTACATAATTAAGTGAATAATTATTTCAATTACGAGGGAACTTAGCTCTCTTTGAGGTAAATTCCCTTTAGCCTGGTTGGCTCGTTACAATGAGTAGAGGTGAAGGTGATTCAAGGCTTTTTTTTTATATGATCAATATTCGTTTGAATAAATAAATTTAATAGTGAAATTACGTTTCAATCACATTGAATTAAGAATTTAATTGATTCCACGGTTTGTGTAGAGTGTAGGTATCAAAATGTAATTTGACGTATTTGGATAGATTCTTGTATTTAATAGATTAGGTAGCAAATACTAATTTGATTAGTTATGTATACAAACGGGAAATGTAGTGTTCTGCTTGCCATATTTCTTCTTCTAATCCAAATAACTTTTTCGCCAAAACCTGTGAACTCTAATTCGAAATTCAGCATGGTATTAAAGTCGATCCATAGGAGCTCGTTTATTCTAATTTTGAATTTTGTTTTAGTTTATTATTATATAATTTATCTTTTTAACCTATTAACAACAATCGATTTGTAATGTTATGAATAACATGTTCTTTCGTAATTACAGTATCCTAGATATGATTCACAGATATTAACGACATTATTTTTTTGGTTTTTCAAACTCAAACTACAACAAGTGAATTTATAATATTTTCCCAAGATATTAGCGTTTGGGTCCACCAACTAGGCGATGCGTAAGTGTATGGCGCATGCATAATATAATAGTGGTGGAAGTGCATAACACGTCCAAACACATGCAAATGCAAGAACAAACTTTCTCCAGCCGCCGGTGGAAAACTATGGCTAGCTAGGCCCGGCGAGTAAACTAAAAGACGAAAATAGAAAAACTAGCTTCGACTTAACGATGGATAGTTCAGGTTCAGCGTGCCTCATGGGCAGGGGGAGACGTCTGCCGGCTTATAGATCAGGGTGGCCAAAATTGACAACATCAATATAAGAAGAGTTATACTAATTGAGCAATGATTCGGTTCAAATCAGACTGAACCAAATCTCATTTGAACCGAATCAAATTTTGAGAAACGTTGTCCAAAAGTTAAAATAAAAGACCAACATTGTCTGTGGTCCAATGTGGTCTTGTCCAAATATCAATCTTGCTGGTTTTCCTTCAAAATTGATAAAATTCATAGGACCATGAACCATACCGCATTATATATATTTGGTCGGTTTGATCTGTCTCGATGTCCGTTTGGTCTGGTGCGGTCTGCTTTGGAACAAACGGTTGCACATCCTACCATATTGGTTTGGCTTCGGTTAAGTTTTGTTGGCCAAAAAAGAAAAGATGACCAAATTTTTTATCTGCTTTTTAGTCGGGTGAAAATTGTGGCAATAAAAGTTTATTTTGCCATTAAAAAAATACGCTCATCTATCTTTCAAGCATTTAATATTTATAATATATTTAATAATTATTAAAAATATGATGATAAAATTAGTACCCCGAGCATATTAGGCTGCGACAACCGCACTCTTACAAAAACATTTTTGTGTCAAGGAATATTGATTGGTCGATCAGCCAAATAACAAAAGAATACAGCACATGTTTGTGTTTGTTAGAGCTCAAATTCCACCTTATTAATTAAAAGAGAATTGTTAGCTAGGCTTCTTCAATAAACTTTTCCCCATTAATTAAAGGAGCTGAGTTTATCTTCTAAAAACTACTTGTGGGTGTCAAAGTTGTAATCTTTCTTCGTGCCTTTACGGTACCATTGCCGCATTAATGCAACGGGCCAAAATACAAGACGAACCAAAACTACGGTACCCTTATGATGTTTATTAACTCAAAAGAATCGATCACTACGCACAACGCCGGCAAAATCCGGCCGGCCGAATCCCCGGCCTAGCTAGCTAGAGTCCTATATGCAACCTACTATATAAGGCCATACAACTCTCAGAAACCAAAACCACAAGAAGAAAAAAGGGACGAAAGAAAGAAAGATCAAGAGTTATATATATAATAGTAGTGATATAATACAGATCGATCGGTCGATTCATCGCATGGAGCATTCTAATAAGAAGGTGGCGGCCGTTGTTGCAGCGGCGGTATTGCTGGCCGCGTCGGCGGTGGCAGATGCGTACTGCAACGGCGCCGGGCAGTGCGGGGAGTACGGTTGCTGTAGTAAGGGCGGAGTTTGTGGAGACGGCCTGGAACAGTGTTGTCCCAACTGGTGCGACTTTGATTGCGACAGAGTCTCTCGCCCCGACTGTCCTTCCCCCGAGGCCTATCCCAACTCTTTTACCAATATTACGACTAATTATGTCGCCGCCGGAAACGTTACGGCCGCCGCCGGTTATAACTCAGCTGGCAAGGTTGTTGCGCCGGGAACTAGCTAGCTAGCGGCGGTATGGTGCATGCATGGCCAGCTGGTAGTTGATCACGAGGTAGTCCGAGAGTTGCATGCAATAAGACAAATAATGATGATGTGTATGGAATAAAATAATCGGCTAGCTGTTGAAGACGTACGTACGTAATTGGACTTCAGTTCATACTTTGCATACGAATTTCCATATTCTGTAATGGAAAAATGAAAAAAAATAATAAAAATAAGGTTTATGTATGTTTCAAGATTGTATGTTGTCTGGTTACAATTGCAGGCTGATGTACAATTTCCATTTCCGGTATTGATTCCTTGATTACAGTAATCGATTTCCTCATTCTCCGTAACTTAAGTTTGATTATTGACATCCCACTAAATGGGTATGAGGAGGAAGAGAAAGACCACTTTAAGATTTAAACCTAAAACATTAGAGTTGAAAAACATCGACAATACTAAATCAAGTTTTTGTTGGTAGAGTTCAATTATTAAAACATACGAGTTGCAATGGACGAATGATTATAGAGTTGAACGTCTTTTAGCGCAACAAGATTTAAGATTCTATAGACAACACTTCCATGAAAATAATAAAATATTTAGGGGATTTCACCTTAATTAGATACTCCCTAGTTTGAAATTAACCAGCCATGCAAATTAAATGTTATTAATATTGAAGCTATGAATCCCAAAAGTGGTTCAAAAACTGAAATGCCACTTGAAGTAAATAATCCATTCAATTTAATGTATTATCATCATCCATCTGTAATATCAACTCCACAATTGTATTGTTTATATAAGGCTCCTACTAGGTTATCACAAATGTTTGGTCACTAATATGAACAAAATTTAGAGTCGCTCGGGCCGAGTTATTACTTATTAGTAGGTAAACAAATTCCAATAACATAACTTTCTTCCTTCCAAATTACTCATGTATTCTGACCAAGTTAAGAATTTAGAAAGGTTGATGAGTCTCTATCAGAAGTGGCTGGTCTGATAGACTAGACAAATTATTTGTAGACTTCAGCGACGTTGCATACCTATAAAAAAATGTTCTCGTGCAAATTAAATTATTGTAATTAATTAATAATTTTAAATCAAATATCATTATCATATACCTGTTCGTTGTCTCCGCAATATCATCTTAAATCATTTATTAATCGAAAGAATACATTGTCAAAACCTGAAAGTTTAATCCACAACTAGAAAACGAGTCATTTTTAGACGTGGCGGGACTTATCAATTATCATCAATCCAATATTTACATTACACTCCTAATTTCAAATTATAAACTTCCCCACATCCCTCCCTCATGGATCCCAAAAAAAACAACACTTAACATGTCAAAATGGAACCCAAAACCCTGAATCAAACAAACATTCTAAGCATCATCTCAATTCTCATGTACATCCCGTGTTACGACCACTCTCCACCACCTCCATCTCCACCTCATCGCCACCACTCCTACTTCCACCGTAAAAAAACTTGCAGAGTACCAAATACAGCACCAAGCTCCCGGAGCTCAAAATGGCCAGCAACCAATAATACTTATCCAGCCTCGCCTCCCTCATATCGTCGCTAAACCAGCTCTCTTCTTTCCTCCACCGCGTCGAAACCTCAACCAAACATATCAGCAGAGCACTCATGAAGCTCCCCACACCAAACACACTCGTGTACAACGCAATCCCCAGAGTCCTCATCTTCACCGGAACTTCCCCGTAGAAGAATTCCTGCATCCCCACCACCGTGAAAATATCCGAAATCCCCAACAAAATGTACTGCGGCAACAGCCAGAATATGTTCATTTCAACAACCATCTCCTCTGTTTTCGCTCCCCTGCTTTTCTCCAGCCTCTGTTCTTCGACCAACGCCGCGATTACCATCGCGATGATCGACAGGAACATCCCGATCCCCATCCGCTGTGTGACGCTGATCCCCTTTTCGGACCGGGTGACGAGGCGGGCGAAGGGGATGAGGAGCTTGTCGTAGAGTGGCATGAGGAGGATGATGGAGACGGTGATGGAGCTCTGGAGAGTTGCTGGAGGGATCATGAATTTGGTTTTACCTGTGCCGATGTTTCGAGACATGGTCATGCCTTGCTTGGTGAAGAAGGTGGCGGGCTGTTGGAAGATGACGGCGAATGTCAGCAGCGTTGCCCAGATTGGAAGGAGTCTGAGTATTGTTTTTGCGGTTTGGACCCAATTGCGGTCGGTTTTGGTTGATGGTGGTTGCTGCTGTTGCTTCTCTGTTCCTGGCTTCAGGGTGCTGTGCTTGTCGGTCTGGAGAGGCTTCGCTTGCATCCTGCGTGGCCAAAAAATAGCAGACGGAAAGTTAGTCATTGAGATGCGTAAAGACTCAAATAGACGGTTTGGGTTGGGTCTAGGTTAGGTTGATGGGTTACATGTGAATTTTGGGTTGCAAGTCAATCGTGTGAGTGACCCAATCGTATTAAGGATTAGATGATTTTTGAGTTGTGTCAGTTCACATGTTAATCAGGTTACATAATTTATTAATTAGCGAATTAAGTTTCGCTCAAATTGAAATACAAATTGGATAGGTTAGGAGTCGTTTAACTTTTCTGGTTAAACTGATTACGTGGTAAGTGTGAGATAGGGTTGGTCAGATCGTACCCAATTTTAATAGTTCTAGATATCTACAGATATAATGAACTAAGGTATATGATTTAACCGAATTGGTGGACTAGATTGAATTTTAGAACAAAATGGTGATCAAAGAAAATGCATTTGTATCCGATGAACATCACATTGATACAACCCATTTACCTCAATTCAAACAATCTTCTAAAGTCGATATAATATGATGTAGAGTGTTGGGATCAAACTGTTGCCTACCCCTTACTAAGCAAGATAGACCTTACTAAGATTCCAACAAAATCAAGTGAATTTTGATGGTTGAATCAGGTTACTGATTCATTGAAGCAGCAATAGGTAGGAAGTAAGTTTCCAAAATTGAAAACAGAGGAACTTAGAGAGAACTTACTCCATCTCAGCAGCTTCAGTCTTCTCATCAGACAACCTGATCCTGCAAACCTTGACTTTACAAACAACATCCTTAACCTTTCTCAAGACCTCAAGGAACGACTTCTTGGAGATGGCATCTTCCTCGTCCTCTCTATACCTATAAATGCTTCCTCCGAGGCAGAACAACGCCATGGAAGCAACCATTGCTAAGGTTGGGATAGCGAAACCCAACACCCAACCAATGGTGTCCTGAATGTAGGACATAACAATCACCCCCATCAAGCTCCCGGCGCATACGCCGAAGTACCACCATTGGAAGAACAAGCTCTTCAGGTTGGGCTTCTTGTCGTCCATGGTGCAGGGGAGTTCGTCTTCACTGTCCAATTGCTCTGCTCCGAAGGCCTGGAGAGATGGGTTGTAGCCTCCTTGGCCGAGGGAGATTAGGCAGAGTGAGCCGAAGAGGAAGGAGTAGCCAATGCTGTTTGAATCGTACTGTCCCCATGTTAGTGCTGTAGATGTCAATGCCCCAAGTCCCTTCAGAAATTAAACCCCACATTAGCCTTTTCTTCATGCTTTAATTAGAGGAACAATTTACGTGTTGAAGTATTTAGTACAAGTAGTTCGTATCCGAAAAAGAAGTACTTTTTACATATAGATTTTTATATTCCTCATCAGGATTAAATGTGGTAAAACAATGAATGGCTGAAATTCTAATTGATACGATGAAGAGAGTGTAGTAATTCGTCGACATAACAAACCTATCAAACTATCTATACTTCAAATGATTTTTGTATGTGAGATTTTCTTTATTGGTCATTAGTATTAAACTCTTTGATGATACACTAAACTTATTGAATCATGTAGATTTTGGGTGAGACTTAAGATTTTCTTAATTCGTTACTAATATTAAGCTCGTCGATCTAGAGAATAATGAAAACATATTGAAATAATTCAACTACACCACAATCAAGATAAAATAGAGCATATTAACTCGACGATCTAACAGACTCATCATTCCATTCCATGTAAACTTCAAAATCTTATATGATTGATCACTTTTTTTCACTCTCTTTAGTTCATCTCGTCTAAAAAAACTACAAACATATTTCTAGGAATCCAAATTATCCGGTATTCAATTTCCGGGCTTTCCAACAAAGTGGAGGATTTGGTCTAAACTACATAACCTCTCAACCACAAGATTTTAGCTTAATTGTGCTTAATCAACACGATGCTTAACCGCCTTCCTCTAATAGCGCATGAGTCCAAGGCAAACAAAGCAAAAGGGGGTAAAAAAAACAGGGGAAGGGTGCAAAAAAAACAGGGGAGGTGAAGAAACAGAGAGAAATGGGGACTTACCACAATGTAAAGAACGCAGGAAGCTAAGATGGTAGAGCAACGACCCCAATAAGACTCGGCCAGCGACGCCACAAGTAGTGGCATCATGGAAGTGAACCCGCACCAGTTATTCACCGTCTTTGCCGCCGCCGAGTTGCTCATGTTCACTACATCGGTTAAGTAGGTCACAAGGTTCGACGCCACTCCTTTGAACGCAAACCGCTCCATCCCAGCAATCACTGTAAAACCATTGAAGTAATCAGAAAAACAGAGCAACCCATTTTCACCATGATTCCAAAAATTGAGTTAAAACAGAGTCTGGTGGATTGATTGATTGATTGACTTACCGATGAGAAGGCAACATGCTTTATTGAGCCCTGGTTTGCCTCTCTTCTCCCCAGCCATGGAAGGAGAACCCAGTTGGATTTTCACCTCAGAAGTCTGAGGGAGGTTCCGGAGCTACGAAATTGGGGCAGTAGAGGACAAAAATGAATGCTCCACCGTTAAATTGGCAAAGCTGGCGGGACTCTGCTTTTGATAGTAAAAGGAAGTAACTGTTTTCTTTGGGTTTTTTGGTTGTGGTTTGCTGTTGAGATTGTGGGCTTATAATCACGAAGAAAGTGCAATGCTTTTCTGATACGTTTATTTTTAGGAGATTGAATTTGAATATGGTATCTAGTACTCAGTATCAAAGTTTGGTTTATGAATGATCAAGTACCAAAAGTATTCAGTTGGAATATGCACCTAAACATCCAAAAATCGTATAAAAAATTGTAACGATAAGTGTGAATGGTTCTAGCAGAATCATGTCGAAAAATCACAATAGGGTAAAATGTTATCAGTCTCATCATTAGTATAAATGAGTTTAACCAATCTAATCGAGTACATATATGATACGATATCGCAAATATTGAAATTTAAACGTATGGATGTACTTATGAAGAAAAATATTTTCTTACAGCTTCCTCATTATGAAATAATAGGGTGTTGTCAAGCGTTACCGTGACGATTTTGAAGTGGTTGGATTAGAACTCTAGTCCATTCTCAGCTTATCATTTTTCTCCTTCTTTTAACTGTAGGAGCGTGCAACTATATTGTGTTTTAAGATGTATTGAATATGTGTTATGGGATTTTTCTATCTATTCTCCAGGTTGGATCGGTCTTGTGTTGGGCTATTTTTGTTTAAGTTTTTGGAGAACGGTTCTATAAAGTGTCTTCTTCAACACTCTAATCTATAGTTAAGTTTCTTCAAATTAAACGATACTATAGAACTTTATTAGAAAATTTATATTATCCTGGCATAGTAAATTTGTTCTTACATGTTCGCGAACTAGCTACTGTACATCATGTTTGTGAACCATGTTTAACTTACTTTTTGTTTTTTCGATGATCAATTCTTTTATAACGTTGTGGATTAATTAAAACAGTCTATTACTAGAAAAACAGTCTATTACTAAAAACATATCACCCCACTTCTTGGAATAGTCCAATTGTAAATTACTTTCCAAGAATCGAAAAAAGAGAGAAAAAAAAAACATCTTATAAAGTGGAGATCATTGATGAAAAGATGATTGGGAAATTATTTTCGTGTAACCCAATAGAAAGACGTCAATATGGGTACTACAAAGTTAGATATATAGATAGAAAAGCATTGTAATGGGCAAAACAAAGAAACGTTATTTAAAGGGAAATAATGAAAATTGAAAACAACAGACGTTATATAAACGCTTCATGGGAGAGGGTGCAGAAAAACACTATAAAAAGATATGCTGATGGAGTCATACTCATAACACACTCACTGAAGAAAGCATGATGCACAAGTAACCATCTTTTGATCTCTCCGCTCTCTCTCTTGATTTCCACCACCACAAGTTCACAACAGCAACCATTACCAACACACTAGCTCTATCTGAGTTTCCCTCGAGTGGCCAAATAAAGCAAAACCCACCACTTAAGAAAAGCAGTTTTCCTCTTTCTATCTAGCTTAGCTATGTAACGTATGGGACTTGGTTACTAGCTACTATGTCGATAGTGCTGAATGCATGAATTGATATCATCGGATGGTTTGTTTTTGGGTATTAGTCGTTGGATGAGTATGTGAGATGTTATTTTGCAAATTTGTGATCATATAGATACAACAATTGAGACTATAAAGAAGGTCGCCCGATCTGATATCATGTTGATAGAGACTATATGTGTATGCCCAATATGACATCTCAAAATCTACAAATAATATAACATTATCTCCGAAATTGCTATGGTGTCTCACACATGAATCGAGGGGCGGACCTAAGTGCATGAATGGATTATCAATTGACAAACCTTAAATCAAAATTTTCGACAGAAACCTTAAAAAAGTCTTTGATATTTTGGTCTATCGTTGAATACCCTTGATAAAACTTATATATGGATCTGCCACTGCATGAATCCCATGCATGATACCATGGATGTACTTGTAGGGTTTCTCCATCTATATAAGCCGACACTTACAATACTCCATTGATTCCTCTCATTGTTCGCTAGCGCGCGAGAATGTTTACAAACGTAGATTGCTTCTATTGGACACTATTGTGGAAGAACAATGACGATTTTGTAAGATATTGTGATATGCGTTGGTTTATGGATAATATCATAACGATGAATCGAAACTCACGGTCACATAGTTTTACTTGTAACTCACAAGTGAGAATACAATGCAAAATGCTAAAAAAATCTGATTTATTAGGTATTTAATTGATTTGGACTAATGTCATCGTCACACATATATAATGGTGAGAAAACCTAATGCATAACCCTAAGTGGTGGCGAGAACAACCACAAACCTTATCCAACTTAGCAACCTAACCAGACTCTATGCGAGCCAAGCCATATGAATTCAAAACGTGAAACAAATTAAGGGTCAAAGAGTTATCAGATTGCATGGCCCCATAATCGAACTCCTTCAACACTAGGCTTGTGCTTACAGGTCCATAGGAGCTATTTAAGTGCTGCATGAATTAGATTGGAAGTGTGCATGTCGGCGAAATCGAGGGTTAATTTACAAGACACGAACTTTTGTCGAGCCAAGCCAACTGGATGAGTCATCCATCCACCCAGGAAGGATGTTACAAACACACGTCAGCTTGTTGTGCATTATACATTGTGCTCTCTGCTACAAATTTTCCACACAACAAGTCGTTTGTGTGCATGCGGGCAGACAATGCTGGACACGTGGCTTGTTTCTGCTCCAATACGTGGCATGCAATTCTGGCAGTCTTTTTGTTGTTTCAGCATGGGCATGGCCATGAACTTTGGTCTGGTCTGATTTCTGTCTGGTCTTGGTCCAAGGCACGAAGTCGAAGTGAACGGGTTTCCTAGCTTCCTTTATATCCGTTTTCTTTTTCTTTTTGTCTTTTTCCACGTCAGGAGATTTGGTGGCCGTTTAATTTGACAGCTATCAGTACGTTGCCCACGTGGATTTTACAGAATTTGGGGTTAATGTTTATTGTTCAATGTTTATACCACTTGATTAATTAGTTAGTGAATAGTGACCACGTACATACACCCTCCTTTTGTTATTAGATTTTGTCGTATTTTTTTTTAGGGCTTTGTATATGCATGCTGTTATGGAGTCCTATCGCATTGATAGAGCAGCTGCACTTCATATCGTTACAGTTTTCGTGTTTGAATTTTTATGAATTGATCGATATTTCATCTATCTATCGTAATGTTATATTGTTTAGTGACAAATAATATTGTTTTAATAAAACAAATAAAAAATAAAACAATTGTATATAAATTTTTTTAGATTCTCATAATAACTCAAATTATTCGAAACAATGGATTTTCAATATGGTGTCAAGTATAAACTGATTTTGAAACTCTAATCTATTCAAACTAACGATCGAAAGTAAAAACTATCAATCATAAAGTCCAGTACTATTGTTACTTACAGCAACGGCTATTGTTCCTTTTGTAACCATTTTCTGGTCTCCAAAACCTTTTTTTCTTGTTGAAGCATCATCCTCATGAGTCAATACCTCAACATAAGCAAAAGTACGAGGTAACGTACCAGATCAGATGAACTAATTAAGTAGGCTATCTTGGTATCCTATAGCTACACGGACTTCTATCCATAAATCTCTTCCTTAGCTAATCAAACAAAAGCTAGAATGGAAAGATTATAAAAAAAAAAAGGGGAGGAGTGCATTTAGTGATAAGTGTACTTAAGGAGAGCTCTTACTTGTTAGTAATTCAGTCTAGCCGATAAGACCTTAATTTCTTACTGCAAGGCTGCATGCAGCCTAGCTATCAAAATTTGTATGTTTCCCCCATAAATAGGACTGTTAAAATGTTAATAGTTATTACTATATAATGGTAACTACTTGCTCATCATCCAATGAATGGAAAGGGTAATCGGATGCAATATGATCGACATCCCAATTCCCAAAATATATAAAGAACAAAGATAATATGGATAACTTGCATATATAAAATGAAGAAAAGGCAATATATTTTGAAGAGATGGTGGGATATATACTATCAGTTTCGCTTTAATTAGTGATGGCAATGTGAGGGTAATTCACTACCCAATCTGTCTCACATCAAGGTGGAGATTAGATAATATTTATGCCATACGGGTCGGGACAGATTAGTCTATTTTTATATATTTCAATAAAACATATATTCTAGATCTTCAATGATAAAAAAGAGGAATGACGGATGTAGTACCCATATCTCGTCTCACGTTACTACATGTGGAGTATTGATTATCTTCCTAGCGCGGGTCAAATCTGGCAATACTTGACGGGAAATGATCAAATTGTCATCATAAACCACTATTATGAGCTTATTGAGTGTTCACGAGGATTTTGGGATTACCGTCTTTTATGGATCTCCTAATATTCATATTTGTTTTTCTTATCAACAACTCAAGTTATTGTGAACAAATTTGTGAGCTGCTATCGTGGGGTTAATTTAATTTGACCACAAGGTCTAGTCTTGTTGAAATCCTTAAGTTTCTTAATAATAATAATTAACTTCGACATGCAATCTATGAGCTTACTTCCATTCGGAAGTGAGTCTCCCCTAATAAGGATTTGTTTGACAATAATAACATGAATTAATTACGTTCACGAGGACTCACCTCCATTCCACAACAACTATATATATGAGGCCAACGGAAGTAATACTCATGTTCCGTCCCACATTACTAGAGGTCGAATATCACCCGTTCCAATACAGGTCGAATCAATAATATCTTACTAAACGGGTTCAAATTCCACAACAGAACTGCACAGAGGTACTAATCAATTGTAAACCTCGTCGACAAGAGAAGGAAAAAGAAACAAACATATATATCAATGTACGTGATTGGTTAAGAAGATACGGCAAAAAATACTCTTTCGTTCCCAGCAGTATTACTA